CAGGGATCCCCGCTGGGGACCGGGCATCTGCCCCGGGGACACGCACAGGGACCGGGGACACCCACTGGCATCGGGCATCTGCCCCGGGGACACGCACAGGGACCGGGGACACCCACCCGGACCGTGCATATCCACCGGGGACACACACAGGGACAGGGGACACCCACCGGGGACACCCGCCGGGACTAGGGATACACGCTGGGGACCGGACATCTGCCCCGGGGACACGCACAGGGACCGGGGACACCCACTGGCATCGGGCATCTGCCCCGGGGACACGCACAGGGACCGGGGACACCCACTGGCATCGGGCATCTGCCCCGGGGACACGCACCGGGGCCGGGGACACCCACCCGGACCATGCATATCCACCGGGGACACACACAGGCGGGGACACCCACCCGGACCATGGCATATCTGCTACCCCCCCGGGGTGGAGGGATGGGGGACATGCACTGGGGACACCCACCAGGACTGGGGACACACGCTGGGGACCGGGCATCTGCCCCAGGGACACGCACAGGGACCGGGGACACCCACCCGGACCATGGCATATGCCCCGGGGACACGCACAGGGATGGGGGATGTGCACTGGGGACACCCACTGGGACTGGGGACACACGCTGGTGACACACACCAGGACCGGCGACATGCACTGGGACTGAGCACACACACTGGGGACACGCACTGGGGACCGGGTATCTGCGCCAGGGACACACACAGGGGACTGGCCATCCACACTGGGGACATGTAGGGGACCGGGCACACGCACCGGGGACCTGTACCGGCACTGGGCACCCACAGCGGGGCCGGGCATCCACACTGGGCACACATACTGGGGACACACACAGATCTTCACTGGGGACACGTATAGAGGACCAGGGACACACACTGGGGACACACAGAGGATCGGGCATCTGTACTGGGGACACGAAGGGGACCAGGCATCCACACTGGGGGCCTGTACTGGGACTGGGCGCCCACACCACAACAGGGACATGCATGGGGGACTGGGGACACGCAGTTGGGACGCACAGGGGACTGGGCACCCGTACTGGGGACACACACTGGTGCCAGGCACCCCCACTGGGGATGCGCAGAGGGGACTGGGCACCCACACTGGGCACCCCAGCGCAGGACCGGGCAGTGGCACCCACAGGTGGCCCAGCCCTGGGGCACGGACACACGGACAGGGACACACACACGTGGGGTGGGATGTCCCCAAGGGGGGCTACCCCCCCGGGGTGACCAGCCTGGTCATGGGGACACCTTGTCCCCCTTAGGGCACGTGGTTGCCACAACCCCGTGGGGAAACTGAGGCACAGGAGGTGGCAGGAGGCCCTGAGCCACAAGGACACCCCGGTGTCTGTCCCGTCCACCTCCATCATCGGTCCCCTCAGCCCCGGGACTTGTGGCTCTGCCTGTCGAGAGGTAGATTTGGGGACAGATGTGGGGACAGGCAGCTTGTCACTCTGCCTATGCCCCGTGGAGGAAGAGATTTGGGGACAGGTTTGGGATAGAGGGTTTTTTACTCTGGCCGTATCCACGGAAAGGGCAGATTTGGGGACAGAGGGGTTGCCACTGTGGCCGTGTCCGTGGAGGGACAGACTGGGGACAGATCTGGGGACAGAGGGGTTGTTCCTCCCGGGCTCCGGCCGCATCGTCCTCCGGGAAGGGGACACTCACGGGTCGCGGGGTTGGCCGGGTGGGACCGCCGGGGACCGGGGCTGGCCCCGGGACCGGCCGGGGGCCAGGCAGGACTAGCCACGGTGGCCTCGCAGTGCCACCTGGTGGCCTCGGCCACCAATCCTGGT